TATCAATGAAAATATTACTTTAAATAATTGATATTATATAATTTTTTAATTTATTATTTTTAAATATATTATTAGTGATTTAAAAAATAAAAAATTTTTTTTTTAAAAATTATAGAGACTAAAAATAATTATTTTAAATTTAAGAGATAAAAAATAAATTTATCTTAAATTTAAATAAAAAAGAATATTTAAATAAAAAAGTATATATATGTTATAGTGGGGAAGGTGGAGTGAAAGTTGTCTAGAAGCAATGGAGTCGGCATCGGAGTGGTCGAAGTGGAAGAAGGTCCGCGTGATGTGCAGCTACGGCGGGCGCATCCTCCGTCGTCCCCACTCGAACAGGCTGTTCTACGGCGGCGGCGAGACCCGCATCCTCTCCGTGGAAGGGCGCAGGCTGGGCAGCCTCTCCTCCTTCCTCTCCCACCTCTCCCACCTCCTCTGTCTCCAGCAGCCCTTCAGTCTGAAGTACCAGCTCCCCCACCACCCTCTCGACTCCCTCATTTCTCTCAGCTCCGATGAAGACTTGCACATCTTCCTCCAGGAGCTCCACCGCGCCGCCCCCACCTCCCGCCTCAGGCTCTTCCTCTTCCCCCACATTAATACAAATGTTCCACACTTTCCACAACTTTTACCATTTCAACCAACTCTCCTAAACCCATTACCCTTTCCCCACCTCTCCCCTCTATACCTTCTGCCTATTGCTCCCACTACACACCTCAACTCCCATGCAACTCATACTCAACACACTCATCAAACTGCATCTTTCCTTTGCAATCCAAATCACCAACAACAAATGGATGCTTATCCTATGCCTCATCAATCACAATCTAAGACTACATCTTTTACTACGTGTGGAGATGAACTAGACAATGACCTTGCTCGTCTTCAGATATACAAATCTCAGCCCCCACCTCCTTCATTGCCTTCCAATTACCAAACCACCATGTCAGACCCTCTTGCTCGGTTGCAACTAGATAACCTCATGCCGCAGACACAAACGCTACAGTGATTTTAGTTATCTGGAAGATACAGTTTTGGTACAAGTTCTATCATGACTTTGAATATTGCTAATCCTATGTTTTGCTTGTCTATACTATATAATATATTCAATCTTTTCTGTTGCTTTCGTATAAGAGAATAAATTTGTTTTTATTTATGCCCACAATTTTTGGTTTGTAATCGTTTTTGTTTTGTTATGTTCGGGTCACATGAGTTCGGATATGTTCATCTTTCTCCTTGTTTCGTATGGTATGGATATGTCTCCAATTACTTCTCTTGTAACATGATGGGTATGTTTTTAACATTAAATTAATTATTGAAGAGAATTTAATACTTTTTGTTTTTTAATAAAAGTTATGTAAAAAAAATACGCATTAAGTGTTAAATTTTTCTTTTTCGTTCCTAGACTATTATCCTAAAGGGTGACTGACCTTAAAATTTAATGAGACTATATACACAAGACAATATTCGAATATCTGATCTTACTTAAACTGGATCAATCCTACTGCTGAGATATTTAATTAGTATGTATTAATTATTTTTTTTTTCTTTAAATTCTCTAAGCTGATAAAAGAAATTATCTCTTTAAATTCAATCACGTGAGCTTGGGCGTATCCAGAAGGTCTTGAGAACCTTACACGACTGAAGAGGAATGACAGAAACATTCGTACAGATCTCATATGGATAAGGATTATTTGTCTTTTCTCTCTCGCCGCCAAAATTAGGATTGGATTTTTTCTGACCGAGTTTATTTTAAATTTTAAAAGAAATAATTATCACAAATATTTATTACATTAAAAGTATAAAAATAAGTGATGAATATATTTTTTTTAATAAGATTCCCTTAGTTCAATTATCTCAAAATAAACTTAATTGATGTTCATATTTTTTATTTTTTTTAATTATGTATATAATTTTCTATGCAACTAGTTTTCTCCTGGTCTAAAGAAACAATGGATAACCTTATAGGTTTATATAAACTTACGTCATATTCCTGATGAACACGTATTACGGATTGTTTTATTTTAATCGGTGATTTCAAATTCGAATTTTATATATGCGGATGTATTAAATGCTTGATAGAGAAAAACAGTACCTGCAGTGATTTTACTCCCTCAAATGATATTTTCTCCAGTGAAATTATATATATAAAGAATATATATGTTGAGATTATGTGTATGTTTAAATACTTATCTTAAATTTTATATCTTTATAATTTTTTTATAATATAAATTTAACTAATCTAATTGTTGAATTATATGATGTTATATTTAATATTATTTTATATTAAATTTTATAGGTTTTTAAAATTGATTCACGCTTAAGTAAGGTCAGGGGTTCGAATCCTGCCTTGTGTATGCAGCCACGTTAAATTTTGGGGCCAGCTATCTCACCCTTTGAGGTGCCTCCAACGTAGCGAGGAGATTAGTCACTGCTGTTGGCGGTGGATACTCCAGGAACGAACCTAAAAAATATTATATAATTCAATGATTGGATAAATTAAATTTGCATTATACAAAGATTTCCTAAATCTTGTATCATTATTTCTATTAATAAGCCAATAAATATTAATATTATGATCATTATTGTATTTATTGTATAAATTATGGCACCTTGTTTTAGTTACTTATGGGATGGTTTGAAAATCGATTAAGTCTTACTATGAGATGTATTTGACAAATTGATTGACCATCGATTAGAAGGTCGACTCAATTCACTCAGTTGACGGGAGATCAATATCATACATAATTCTTTAGACTCAAGTGCTAAAAGCACAAAGAGTTTAAGTGATTGGACTACTTAAACACTAAGAGATCGATATGATACACAATCTTATAAACTTGAACATGAAAGTATGAAAGTGTGAAGAATCTATGTGCTTCGACCTACTCAATCGGTAGGAGACTGACACGCCTGCTTTCTTCTATGTGTTTGTGGCCTTGAGAATAAACTAGAGTTTAAAACTAAAAGCAAACTACTTTCAGTCTTGGACATATATAACTATTAACATAGGTGAAAAGAACATGAGTCACACAAGGGAATAAATAAGGAAAGAAGTAAGAACATGAGTTTGTATAATATAGTTATGTAGCCGTCACTCAAACAAATGTACAAGTGTTTTTTTTTTTTTTCCCATGTTGCTTCAATGTACTTCTATCAAGTCCTAATTAATGATTATTACCTTATGGACAAAACCTAGATAGTAACATGTATTGTTAGTGTCATTCTCTCATTAAAATTAGAATTTTATTCAACAAATTTACATTAATAATAAAATTCTAATTTTGATTAGAGAATATCACTGTCAACACCAATAGGACTACATCATAGGTTTTATTAATTCTTCCCTTATAGAGTGCTAGTGTTTCTCTTCCCTTTAAAAAACTTGGCAAAATTTGGTATCACCTTCTTTTTCTTCTTAACAATGAAAGGACTCACACGAGGTGAAGCAGACTTGTGAACCTTATAACCTCTTGAAGGAGTCATACTACCATCCGACTTCATGCTCTTTCGTGACATGGCACGCTGCAACTCCCTAGGTGGATTATTATTCTTTTCACGTACTTTTCTTGACCAATTCTCAAACTCTTCATTACCAACTCTCTTTGGAACCAACTTTTCTTTAGCATAAATCTCCAATTTTGCCTCAGCCACCTTAGTCTTCATCATTATTTCCTTCTCACTGGCCCTCATAGCCTCAACCCACGCCTTAGCTGCTTCAGCTTTCTTGTCAGCAATTTCATTTGCCTCGGCTGCATGGTTAGTCAAATACTCATATTCGAACTTTGAGATAATAATAGCCTTTGTTGTTGTGAAACTTAAACTTCTCTCTCTCATGGTATTCTCTGTTAGAATCTTCAGCTTCTCTAAGGCTAAACTTTCTGAGGATTTTGCTGCTTCAAGATCCTGCATGGCACCTTGTAATCTTTCCTCATTCACGTTCATCTCCAACAAAGCTTTTCTAATCTCTTCTTTTGTGGTTGCAACCTCTTCGTTTATAAGCTCTTTTTCTTTGGTTGCTGCTTCTGTTTCGGACTTCAGCTTATCAAGAGTTTGTGTTAAGTTAGTGACTATTGATTTGGCTTTTCCCTCAGCAGCAGACACAGCTTCTAGTTTAGATTTTGCTCTCAAAAGCTTGTAACTCATGTTTCGTACTTTAGTACCAACTTTTGACTCACCATTCTTTATATAAACCGTGGCAGCTTTAACATGCTTCAACTCATTTCTTGTAACATCCATAGAGGTCATAAACCTAAAACCTTTCTCTCTAATCGAAGCCAAGTCTTTCTTTGCAGCTTCTATTTCTTCTTTTATAGTCTCTATCACACCAATTCCTTCCACATGCTCCATGCTCTCACCCCTTTCAACCCTTTTCCTATTTTTCTTAATCAATTTCAATTCCTTCTTCAACATATCAATATCAGACAATGTGGTTGCCAATTTCATTTCAACCTCTTTTGACTCATTTATTTCCTTGATGGCCTCTTTCAGCTTGTTTCTTGTGTTTTCAAGAGCTTCAAAGTCTCTCAGTTCTTTCAAAGCCTCCATCCTGGCCAATTCAACCACCACTTGTTCTTCATTGGCTTCCTCAATCTCCTTCATCAGTTTCTGTGCAACTCTTGAGCATAACAGCGTGTTTGATCTTGATGCTTCAATTTCCTTCTCAGCTCGCAGTTTCTCTTCCAAAACAGAAGCCATGTCAAGCTTAAGTTGGAACAGTTCTAGTTTAGCACATTCCAATTCTCTCATCACTTGTGAATACTCGTTGTTGTTATTGTTATCATTCTTGTTTGCCTTCCCATACTTCTTTAGTGATGCAATATCTCGGATTTGAGCTTTTGCCTTGTGGCTGGATTCACCAATCATAGAGAAAAGATCTTTCACTGTCTTTTTAGCATTAGAAAGCTCAGTTTCTGCTTGAGCTTTTGCAGATTCTGCTGCCCGTTTGCTCTCTTTGTACTGAACAATATCCCTACTTGTTCTATGGAGTTCTTTTGTTTTTGAAGAGTGCTTCTGAGGAATATTTAAGAAAAACGATGCTGTTAACAAGTGCTCTAAATATTTTTCAATTTTATGAGAAAAAAATAGATAATACTGGGTTACATATCATGTAGAGAGACGACGTTAACACTTTCTTTGGATTACATAAAGAGTGTCTTAGTATTTTTGTTGAGAAAAATACACACAAAATAAAATAGTAGAGTGAATGCCATAACATAAACTGCATGTAGATGAAGATTAATGGAGGTACATACCGTAGGGAAATCTTTCTTCAGCAAAGGACTATTAACATCTGTAACTGTAAACCTATTACCGTATAAGTTAACAGCTGCTTTAACCAAACCAACTTTTGTTGTGTTACCAGGCTTTGAGGCTGAGCCATCCATGTTTGTATATCCTATTCCTGCTTAGAATCATTGAGAATTTATCAGCTTTTTCTCTGGTTCATCCACTACCAAACAGAAGGTTCAATTCAAATTATATAAATAAGAATTGTTCACTCTTTTTTAGTTTGTTCTATAATAATAACCACTTTGAACTAGCAGTTGCAAAAGGGTAACACAAAAGCATAAAGCAGTGACATAGGAAACCAGCATAAAGCATAAAGCATAAAGGTTTCAAATGGCTTACCTGAGTGAGATTGTTGTAGGAGAATGGTTAGCTCAAAAATCAAACATGTTAGGATGGACAAAGTTTGTGGCTGAGAATTGTAATAAGCTGCTCAAAGGGTTGAGAACTAGGTCCACGTACGTGACTGGCTGCTATTGGACATGTCCTACTATTATTCCTTACAGTTTTTTTGTACACTATTCTCTTCTTCTTCTTCAAAATATTATTGTTAAGTTGTTCTCAAATGTATTTTATTCCATTGGACCAATCAATTAAGATATCATTTTCATTATTTGTCTTCTTCGTTTCTGCTTCGTTTTCCTTTACTGCAAAGATGGGAATATAGTATCCACCAGTGCTTGCATTTTCTGATAAAACACAATTTTATGATATTATTTAAAATAATCTAGAGAAAGATTCCATTTCTATTTCTAGCGTCCAATGAGCGCCAACTCAAGACCATAATTAGTATTGGCTTTTTTACAGCATCATGATTTTGAAAGTTCTTATAATTCCATCGTCACCGGTTGCATCAGTCGTTTTTATTCGTAATATTGCACTAATATATTTGATAACTATACGTTGGGAATTTAAAAATATGTTCAAGAAAATAAAAACTTGTAATATAATATCCGATTCAAGAAAAAAAAAAAAAAAAAGTTCAATTATTTTTTAACCTTAAATATTATAATTTTAATAGTATAACTTTTTAGTTTCTATAAATAAATATTTTATCCGATTGATGAGAAGAAAAAAAGAGAGAGAATAATGAGTGTGTTGCATTGGAGAATGGTTGGTGTAAGAAGAAGGAAGAAGCGAAAAGCGCGGGATGGGAGTTAAAAGAAAGAGAAGCGGAAGAATGGGGTGGAAAGAGAGGGATGAAAAATGGAAGTGGAGCGAGCGTCGCTGTGCAATTGCGTGGTGAACTTTCTGTTGGAAGAGAACTACATTCTGACCGCCTTCGAGCTTCTCCACGAGCTTCTCGACGATGGGCGCCACGACCAAGCCATCCGCCTCCAGCAGTACTTCTCCGACCCCTCCCGCTTCCCTCCCAACCAGATCTCCCGCCTCAACTCCCTCTCCCTCTCCGCCGCCGATCCCCAATCCCTCCTCCACCTCAAGAACCAGGCCCAACACAAGTCCGCCATCACCGACTACGAGCTCCGCCTCGCCAACGAAGACATCGCCAAACTCAAATCTCAGTTGCACTCCCTCACGCACCTTCACGGTCTCCTTTCTCCTTACATTTTCAATCACTTCATCTAATTCTAATCTTACTAACTCCATTCGTTCATATATACGTTACATGCAGCCTCGCCGTCCAATGCCGATCTTTCTCTTTCCGACTCACAGACTCGCCCACACAAACTAACTCTTAATACTTCCTTCTCTGCTTCTGCTCTCGGACCGCTCAAGGATACGGAACGTCGAGATCTTAATTCTGCCGTCAAGGAATATTTGCTTAACGCCGGCTACAAACTCACTGCAATCACATTTTATGAAGAGGTATTCACTTTCTTACAAGATAACACCATTTAAGAGACAATGCAAGTGCCATCACATTTTATCTTTAACTTAATTTTAACTCCCAAATTATATCTTAAATATCATCTTCATCTGTATTGTGATTTAAAAGCTATACCAACTTCCACAAATAATTGTTGAAAAATTATTATTTTCAAAATTGAAGAATAATGAAAATTTTCATAAAAGAAGATTTTGCATAATTCAAAGACAATATATGATTGACACATTATGAATTCACTTTCTTTTTTTTCTCTCCTTTTTCTCACTTTAACTAAGAAGTGAATGAATTTTAAAAATTATAGGGGAGGTATGCTATATTTAAACAGACCTCAGAGGAGGTGAATGCAATTTTTCCTACTTTTATAATAACTAGTAACTACTTTGAAATCATCAAAACAATGATTTTTGATTAGTTGAAGTTGCAAATTTTACATTGACAATACATGACAATTAAATTAAACTCTAACTGTTCCTGTAGGTTGCAGACCAGAACTTGGACAATTGGCAGAATACACGTGCAATAATACCGCAAGCCTTGCGTCATTATTATTATCAGTATCTTTCATCAACTTCGGAGGTAGCAGAGGTGAATATTTAACTCATGGTGTAGGCAAGTTGCTCATCAAATACTATCTAAAGAAGTGTTGCTAAATTGCCCAGCTGGTTGTTTATAAATTTGATTTGATTTGTTGTCTTAACTTGACTTGGCTTCTTAATCTTACTATTACACATTACTGTAAATTTCGGTTTTAAGCTTTCCTTTCTGCTTAATAAATGCGACTTTGTTATAATATAAAGGAATTGATTGACTTCTATTGATTTTTAATAGGTGAATATGTAAACCAAATGTAATATTGTTTCCAAAATCCAAATTACTACAGTATATGTTGAATCACGCGTGTATAAATATGCAGGAAAAAATTGCCCATGTTGGAGGAAATGAAACACTGCTGAAAGCAAATGAGAGGGTGAATCAAGAAAAGGAGAGCTCGTTGAAGGACAAAGATTTGGCAGATGGTCAAATAGGAGCATTAACTAAATCCTTGGAGGCACTGCAGAAGGATCTTAAAGACAAAGAGAACCTGGTATTCCTGTTGACTTAACAAAGAGATACCGTTTAACAATCTAAAATTTCTATTATGATTACTAATATTAACTTTTAGGTGCAAGTTTTAAAGCAGTCCTTGGAGAATCAAAGAAAAGAGCTCAATGATAACAGAGTTGAGATCAGTATGCTTAAAATGGGTATTGAACGGTCTGGTTCTGGAATGAATCTGGTTGTTAGTGATGTAGACAATTCTCAACCTGAATCTTTAGATAAGTACAAGGAAGAAATTAAGAAATTGCAAATGGAAGTTGAATGGTTGAAGGAAAAGAATATTGGAGTTCGTGAACCTGGAAATTTTATTCGTTCTGAAAATGAAACTGAGGACAAAGTGATAGAGATTCATGAGGACCAAGGTTCAATTTCTTACCCTGTTGATGCAGCATTGGATGTCATACGCAATGAAGATGCTCAATCAACAACTTTTAAAACTCTTGAGGAATATGCTGATAAACATGAAGATGTGCCTCTCGCAAAAGCAAATATTTCTTTTGAAAATAGTGAAGATGTCTCTGAACAAAATGTAGGCAAGCAAGAAGGGGATAGCAGGTTAAATGCAAAATCAGACAGTGGAAACGATGAAGCAAGATCTAAGAAGATGGCAAGTACATTCTATTTTTGCTTTAGGAAATCCTTAAACATCATTATTTTTTAGTTTCTAGTTGTCTAGCTTTAACTTTTTTACATCATCATCCAATTAATTTTGCGTCACCCTTACAGAGTTTGGTTATGATAACAAGTGGAAATTCTTTTAATGATATGGTAAAACTTGTCTAGATGTCACATTGATAATGCATAAAAATTAAAATCTCACTGACTTTAGTAGTATCTCATGGTTTCGATTGCTTGTAATGAAGTGCTTGTGCAAACATAAAAGAGTGAAAATCCCACTCCTCAATGAAGGAATAAATTGAAGTCAGACTGGTGAAATTTTAAGCAAATGATTCTTTTTTTCAGTTTCTTATATATGTTTATGCTTTGACAGGGATTAGGAACCATTCAGATACTTGCAGACGCTTTGCCTAAAATTGTTCCGTATGTCCTGATCAACCATCGTGAGGTGGCCACTCATTAATTTTGTTTACACTTATGCAAACTTCAACATATGTTGCATTAGTGTTGTTTGATTGCAGGAACTGCTTCCTCTAATGATGTGTGCAATTGAACACCACCCAGATAGCAGGACTCGGGATTCTTTGACCCATACATTATTTAACTTAATCAAGCGTCCTGATGAAATACAGAGACGAATTATAATGGATGTAAGTTATATTGGTTTCTTATGTTAGTTTAAAGATTCTGGTTTAAATGCAACTTTGATCATTTCAGGCATGTGTCAGCCTTGCAAAGAATGTTGGAGAGATGAGAACAGAAACAGAATTGCTTCCTCAATGTTGGGAACAAGTATATTCTGGCCATAATTTTTCACTTCTATTTGCCATTCTGACTTAGGAACCAGGTTTTCAGGGTTTCTTTTGTGTTATGGATTTTAGATAAACCACATGTACGAGGAGCGTAGACTGCTCGTTGCTCAATCATGTGGAGAGCTTGCAGAGTTCGTACGGCCTGAGATTCGGGATTCTCTTATTTTATCTATTGTGCAGCAACTAATAGAGGATTCTGCCACTATTGTTCGAGAGGCTGCCTCGCATAATTTGGCTCTGCTGCTTCCACTTTTTCAAAACACGGAAAAATATTTCAAGGTCAGCCTCACTATATATGCTTCGAGGCAATCATGGAGAAGATTTCTGACTTTAAAGATTTGATCTGCAATGTAAGCTCTGCAACAGGTTGACGGGACAGTATAGGGAATGGAGCCTTTTACCCTTATCATACATAATATGACAACTTTTAATAAAACAACAAAAGGGAATACAGATAGTGTTGGTCCAATTCTTTGTTTTATTTGTTGTTAGGTGGAGGAGTTGATGTTCCAATTGATTTGTAATCCCTCAGGAGTGGTGGTCGAAACTACTCTCAAGGAATTGGTTCCTGCAGTTATAAAGTGGGGAAACAAATTGGACCACGTTTTGAATGTTTTACTCTCACATATTTTGAGCTCTGCTCAGGTCTTTCTTTTCCATATGTGCTTTCAGTTGTCCCTTGTGACACAACTTAATCCTTGTTGGCAATTATTTGAGTTGAATTTCATCCCTTGCGTTGCAGCATTGTCCACCTCTTTCTGTAATCGAAGGGTGTATGGAGTCACATCTACATTCATTGGGTGAAAGAGAGCGCTGGAATATAGATGTTCTATTGAGAATGCTGGTGGAATTGCTTCCTTTGGTGCACCAGAAAGCAATTGAGACATGTCCCTTCTCGTCCACAGTAGAATCTACGCAAGTTGTGTTTTCTACCACATTGCTTGAATTGTATGCAAGGTAAGCTTGACACGAAATGTTCACTTTGAAATATTAACATTAGGACCTGTAAAAGAATTGATGCAACTGATCTTTGGGTCTTAAAGTCACATCCTTCCATACATGAGTTCCTGTTTGGAAGATGGGGGAAAGAGGGACAGTGAGTGGATGGATAGGTAGCAGGTCAGGTTTGGTGCCCGGAACCCTCTAGCTTTCTATGCTTGACTCGTTGTATTATATATGCATTGTAGGCATGCATCTGCAGAAACACAAACTGTGCCTGACTGCAGAACCAAAACAGTGACTGATTTCAAATGGTTTTCATTTTTGCTAGGAGTCATGTTGAATGGGAGGCATTTGACTGGATGCATGTTGAGTGCTTTCCTAAATTGATACAGCTAGCTTGCTTGTTACCATGGAAAGAAGATAATCTACGGAGCCGAATATCGAAGGTCACTTGTCTATCTTTTCTGTTGTTTTTTTTTTTTTTTACCTTGTTTTTTATGTTCTGTAGCATTAGCAACTGAATAACTTCTTATCAAAATAATGTAATTGCAGTTTCTGTTATCTGTTTCTGAAAGGTTTGGGGATTCCTACATGACATGCTTCATGCTACCTGTATTTTTAACAGCAGTTGGGGATGATGCCGATTTGATATTTTTTCCTAGTTCCATTCATTCAAAAATTAAAGGTAATGATTCTTCAATTATTCCGTTAAATATTTACATAACTGCTTTATGTTTGAAAGTTTGCTTGTAGGTTTGAGACCAAGATCTGTTGTTTCGGAGAAGCTTTCCACGTCGTGTGTCCTACCATTGCTGTTGGCTGGTGTTTTAAGTGCTCCTGGAAAACGTAAACAATTAGAAGAGTACACAAGAAAGCTGTTAGTAGAAGACAATTCGAAGGAGAATCCGCCGACAAAGCACTCTCTTGAGATCATTAATGCTGTCCGCTTCATTTGGTTTGTACATCACACTTTTATTACTTTTATATTCTTAAAATCGATAGTAGTATTTTAACCAATTTGAGTCAGTAGCTTTCTTATAATGCAGCATATATGAAGAAAACCATGGTATGGTATTTAATATACTGTGGGAAATGGTTGTTAGCTCTAACGTGAACATGAAAATAAGTGCTGCCAAGCTTCTAAAAGCCATTGTAAGCTAATCGTTTTTTTTTCAGTTACTTCTAGTTAGATCTCATAAATGCCAAAGCTGACATAGAGGTCTTCAATAATAGGTGCCATATATTGATGCAAAGGTTGCTTCAACTCATGCTTTGCCTGCCCTAGTTACTCTTGGATCTGACCAAAACCTCAATGTGAAGTGTGCCAGCATTGATGCATTTGGTGCTGTGGCTCAACGCTTTAAAAATGAGATGGTATCTGTCGCTAGTATATATGCTTGGGTTTTATTGCTAAAATGTTGATGCTATTCAAATGACCAAACATGATATATTGCAGATAGTTGACAAGATACGTGTTCAAATGGGCGCTTTTCTTGAAGATGGATCCCATGAAGCTACAATTGCTGTCATTCGAGCGTTGGTGGTGGCAATACCGAATACAACTGAACAACTCAGAGATTATATCCTTAACTTTTTTTGTGTGGAAAGGAAAAAGTTCAGAAATTTGTGGTGTCCTGACATGATATCTCATTTTCTTAGTCATTTGCATTTTCTGTTGGCTTTCAAACTCTCTTAAATTAAGCAGTTTGTTTCTTAACCTTGATGTACATCTTTTATCCAAGATTTCTCAACTTACAGCGGTGCCTATTACAAGTGATTTAATGCAACGGCGAGAAAGAGCCAATGCATTTTGCGAGGCAATCCGTGCTCTGGATGCTACAGGTTTGCTCAACTAAATATATTACTCTTACCTTTCCGCACCCTTAAGATATTTTTCTGGTAATCAAGTCAAAGAGTAATAATACTAATATTATCATATGGATGATGGATGTAGGCTTAACAAGGTTTCTTTGAAATCTTTGGCCATCTTCTTTGTCTTGGATGTTTTGGCAGGAATTTATTTGGTATCCAACCATAAACCTAAAGTAATATTTTGATATATTATCTTTTTATTTTAATTGATCAGAGAATGAGATAATATTTGGGACGATGTTTGATATTTGAGTAGATTTAAGTGCTACATTGACAGTGAATTCTTACTCTTAGAGGCTGGTTAATAAACGAAATGTTTTTTTTTTTTTTTTTCATGAGAATCTTAAATAAAAATTTTTGGTTTCTCATGTTTGATAGCTATTTAAAAAGAATTCTCGAGAATAGAGTTTCTTGGAAATAATTTTTATCTCACTTTTTTACAAAAAATTCTTATGAGGATGAGAATTTAATTTTTTCCGAGTTAGAGAAAAAGTTTTATTTATATAAAGAGACTACAATATCTCATTTTTAAACAAAAAATATCTCTTGCTCTCCTTCTATTTCTCTTTCCCCCTCTTTCTCTCCCACTATCACTCCCCCTCTCTTCCTCTCTCTCCCTCTCTCTCTCTCTCTCTCTCTCCTATTTCTCTTTCTCCCTCTCTGTGTCTCTCACTCTCACTCCCCCTCTCTCCTTTTCTCTCCCTCCCATATCTCTATTTCTCTCTCTCTCTCTCACTCTTTCTTGTATTTCATTATTTATTGACTTGTCAATTTTAATAATATTATTAAAATTTGTTTTATTTTTTAATGGTATTTGTTAATACTTATTTATTCATTTATTTATTTTTATTTGGATGAAATGAAATAATATATTTTTATCCTTAATTATTATATACCATTTTCCTTTGTTTATTTCTTTTCTTGAATTCTATATTTAAATAATTTTAACTATAATCTTTCAACTTTTTAAAATAGTTTAATGTCATATTCATAATAAGATTTGAGTAAATAAATATATTTAATAAATTTATTTTAATAAATGATATTTTTGTAAAAAGAATTTATATATTCAAGAATATATTATTATGACTAAACATGAAAATCTTTAATTCTCTGAAATTTTGTATGAATATTTCCATGAACTTTTATTATAAATAATCAAATAGGTTTTAGTTATTTTCAGGATTTATAATTCTTAAGAATTAAAATTTCTGGATATGAAAAAACTCCTCCGTTACCAAACATCTTAGAGTAATGATTCAGAAATCATTTTTAAATATTAATATTATGGTATTATTGATTCATCAGGGATATTGGTAATTGATACTGTCATAGGCTATAGTTTTTGGATCGGTAGTTTTCCCTTTAGCTGTCCAGTTCCCAACGATCTAGTGATCAATGGAAGAATGTTTGAAGAATAAAGTACCAACTATTGTTAAATAAGGTGGCTATTTTATTTTCAAAAATTTTTTTTGTTTAATTGTTGAATACTTGATGTGTCTTTTTTTTTTTTTTTTTTTTAAATTTATTTTCCATCGTTTCTTTTTCATAAAAACTATCACAAGTCACGACCTCTATGATGAGAAATCACTTGTAGACTTTTGTCTAGTAGTATAAAGTTCAGAATGACAACATTGTAACGTACAAGCTTTATTTGCAAATTGCAATAACTTGTTGATGTTTTAACATTTTCATAGGAGATTAATTAATTCTGTAAAAAGTGCTGATGCTGCAAATTATGAGTTTGGTTGGATACTGGTCCAGCATCAGAATTTTTGACCGAATTAATACTTGTGATTAGCATCCTATCACATATATTTCTTATTTAGCAAGTAGAATTAATTGTGAGTTTATGTAATAGATCTTCATGCAAATAGTGTTCGGGACTTCCTTCTGCCTGCAACACAGAACCTACTAAAAGATTTGGATGCTCTGGATCCAGCACACAAAGAAGCTCTTGAAATTATCATGAAGGAAAGATCTGGGAAAAGTTTTGGTAGTGGTGCAAGTAAGTCGATGGGTTCTCAGTTTGGGCTTGCTTCATCAGTCACCAACTTATTTGGTGAGGGTGGCTTGCTTGGAAAGAGAGAAACCACAGAATCACAATCACAATCACAGTCAGAGAAAGTTGTATCCCCCAACTCCAAGGCTGCTACGTCACAACCACAAGCAGAGGACACTAGATTAAGGCGCATCATGATGGGACATTTCGGCGACATACTTAGGACCAAGGGAAAAACCCAAGACGAAACGCACAACCAGAACCACTAACATGCATTTTTGCCTTCTCATACCATCACTTTTTTTAATTTTATTTTATCAGGTCTTGTTTCCCAAGTACGCCAGAATTTTTGCTTTGGGAACAATTTGATCTTTTTACTAAAAAAAAATCTTATTTTAAAAATAAATTATATCTATTTTAAAAAAGTTACTTTTTTTTTTTAATTTTAAACAAACTGATCTCGAATGGAATCATCTAATCAAGTTGATAGATGACGCGATTTCCCTCTAAATAACTGTAGTAAAAGTGGGACATGAGTTATAGTTACCACAAGGTTCTATCTTTTTTGGGGTTCCTTGCAAGTAAGTATATTGTAATAATCATTATGATATAAATCTCCACTATAACAAACATAGTTCAGCTTTGTACTGTACCGCAAGAAACAAGTTGTAATATAACCGGTTACATGTAATTACATCCATTTAATATTACATTAAAGGCCAAATAACAGTATATACGTGGTGAATTCAATTCAACTCAATTAGTCTTTGATTTTGTTTTTTTTTATTAAAAACGAGTTGTGTAAGGTTATATTTGTTTTTTAAATTGAGTTAAAAATATTATCCAACTCAATTTGTAGTGGGTTATTAGTCAGATGAATTGAAAAAAAAAATAATTATATAAACTACAAATATTTTTTATTTTAACCCCTTGATGATAACTTAAGACAGGATAACCTCTCAGACTTTTATAATTTATATTGTATTGATCTATATATATTACTGTTTATTCAAATAAAAATATTAATAATAAGTAAGATATAATTTGCGAATGAAATTTATATGGATAAATTTATGTGATCAAACTTGAGTCTTGTTAACATAAATGTAACTAATGTCATATTTAAATAAGTTTTATTGTATTTAAATACATATTATATTCAAATAAGAATTAACATATTAATATTATATTACAAATTATTTTTTATTATATAATTTTAGTTCTTTTTTGCTATGTTACATTATTACATACTATTTCTAATATATTATAAAAAAAAATTATTTTAATGTTTTTGGTAAGTTGGACAATCTATTGGAGAGCTTATGGAGGATTTAAGTTAGATTTATTATATTTAAATACATATTATATTCAAATAAGAATTAACATATTAATATTAATCAAATAATTTTTTTAAAAGATATATTACAAATTATTTTATTTATATAATTTTAGTTCTTTTTTGCTATATTACATTATTACATACTATTTCTAATATATTATAATTTTTTTTTCATGTTTTTGGTAAGTTGGACAATAGATGAAGCATACTAACTTAAGGAGAACTTATGAGAGGGTGAGTGAAAATGGAGCATGCTGCCACCCTCACATGTAAAAAATATTTTTTAGGACACTAAAGTTCTCACGAGTAAAAATCCTATACATTTTCTTTTCTCTTCATTTATTTCATTATTAAAGTTTTGAAAGTATATATCACACTCTTCTTAAAATATGTATCATCTTTCTTTTATTTTATTTCTTAACAAATTTTAAAATGACATAAAAAAAATGGAAAGGATTCAAATTCATTCTTGAAAGAACCTTGCATGAATTTAAACATTATTAATTTTGCATAAAGTTGTCTTGAACTTAGTTTTTATTTAAATAAATTTATTTATAAGTATTTATAAAAATGAAAAATATATTTTTTACAAATTAAAATTAATTTTTAAAAATGAAATATTTTATAAATTAACTTAAACATAAATATATTTTAGTATATAATTTTTTTATTTTAAATATTATTTTTCATCTATAAATATTTATGTATCATGACTTTGATTTGACTCACCAACTCATTACATGGTTAAATCATAGAAAAAATGGATGTTTTCTTTGGCGTTACTCCATGCCTCAGTAAATTAAAAGATTATAACATTATTCAACTATCGATGAGGATGAGCTAAACGCAACTCCTAAACCGATGCTATCACTATATATCTAACTCAGTGATAGAATTTATACCAACTAGCTATGTGCTAAATTTTCAACCAAAGACGGTTTCTCCCAAAAAAAAATTCATATTATGATTTGATTGTGAGTCTTTGAAACATAATAATTGAAATTAATAGTAATTTGATACTCACAATTATGACAGAATTTTTTAAAATTTAAAATTTGTAAAAAATTTTACACAAAAATTTACTTTTGAATTATAAATTCGTAAAAAAAAATTGCAACAATTTCTTTAATTTTTTTTCATAAAAAAATTTTCTACAAAAAATTCTTGTAAAAAAATTCGCAAAAAACTTTCTTACCAATTTTTTCACAAGAAATTTTACTGGAAAATTTCTTACGAATTTTAAAATTCACAAAAATGTATTATTCGTGAAGATATCACCTGAAGATAAAGTTTCGTGAAAAAATTCGTAAAAATCATATTTCTAACAAATTTTACATTAAAATTCGCATAAAAAGTTATATAAATAAGATAAATTTTAATGGTGAAATATTTCATTCTATCCGTATACATTACATATCGATAACTATAGCGGAATTTAGATTCCTCACTACAAGTAGCTAATTCATGGTCTATTTGAAAATTTATTCCAATTTTGAAATATATACCAAAAAATCATGTAAAATATCCTTTGAAGTAGCAAGTACTCACAATGGTCGGAAATTATTATTATTGCCACTGTTGGAGTTAAAGTGTGAAGTGAAGTCCCACATTGGTTAGAGTTGGGCATGTTGAGTAATATATAAGTGAAAAAGACTCACCTACCTAATGCCTTAAGGTTTTAGGTTATATTGTGGTGTCAAACTCACTTATATGACTTACTCACTACCCATTGTGTGGAATGCTCCCTGGCGTTAAAAACTCCCTAACATTGGTATCAGAGTCGATGGTTCGACCAAGTGACTGATGATCGGCTCCGACGTAAAAAAAACACGGTGACATTTTTTGTAATTTTTGCGAACTTTTTTACGTCGGACCTGGTAGGGTACGACGTAAAAAGTCTAATCTACGTCGGAGGTGTGTTGTGTCCGACGTAGATTGGACTTTTTACGTCGGGCCCTACCAGGTCCAACGTAAAAAAGGACGCAAATTTGAATAAGAGAGCGCGAGGCACACTGCGCGCATTCACTCTTCATCACTTTTCATTTTTTTCTCTCTAAACCCTCTCCCTCTCCTTTGTTACTCCTACCAGGTCCAACGTAAAAAAGGCCGCAAATTTGAATAAGAGAGCGCGAGGCACACTGCGCGCATTCACTCTTCATCACTTTTCATTTTTTTCTCTCTAAACCCTCTCCCTCTCCTTTGTTACTGAATCGTTTTTTTTGTCTTTTGCAGAGGGATGAACTCTTTGTTACTCATTTGCACATTGTTGCTGCTCCTCAAGTATGAATCAAGGTTTCGTTAGCACTTTTCTACTTCGAATTGCTACTCTGGCTATCTGTTTTATTTGATTTTTTGGTTGTTCTATTTGTATAGGTAGTGGGCGTTTTCTTTTAGGTTGTTATACGAAGCTGAATGGCTTGTTCTGGAAGCTGAACGGCCTGTTCTGCTTGCAGAACGACCCGTTCTCCAAGCAGAACGGCCTGTTCTGCAAGAAGAACGGGCCGTTCTGCTGGCATTTTTATGTTTTTTTTTGTTTTTTTTCCTACCTTTTTACGTCGGATGTCGTAATGTCCGACGTAAATTTACGTCGGTTTTGCGGATCCGACGTAAAATTTACATCTCCCGCTTCTACGTCGGTATGTTTTCTGACGTAAAAGGCTGAAAATGTCCGACGTAGTACACCTCTTTTGTACTAGTGAAAAAGCCTCTACTTGAGGAGGAGCGTGACCATGTGGAAGGGATTCACGGGGAGTGTTGGAGTTCAAGTGTGAAGTGAAGTCCCACATTGGTTAGAGTTGGGCATGTTGAGTAATATATAAGTGAGAAAGAACTACTAACCTAATACCTTAAGGTTTTAGGTTATGTTGTAGTGTCAAGCTCACTTGTATGACTTACTCACTACCCATTATGTGGAATGTTCCCCGGCGTTAAAAACTCTCCAACAGCCACATCGATGACAACTAAGTAAACATTTTTACTTGTATCAGCGAAACCTATCTTTTTCTTTTTGAGAAAATTATGTCTCGTTGGATCTTAAGAAATGATGAGTGTTGAGGTTAACTTCTCATAAGTTCTAACCATACGAGCAATAGGTCACATCCCATAATTAATTTTTCTAATGATCATTTTCTACTTTCATTATGTTGATACCAAAATGACATATTACTAACTAAGGAGTGAGTTAAACCTACAAGGAAAAAATAAGTTTAGGTCAAGTTTATAAAGTAAATAGCTCAGCTATAAATTTCTGTAAAAAGAGTTAAATTCATTATTAGTTCATATAAACTCAGGCAAAAGCTTACAACTGCAAATATATTTATTTAACATTGATTATTTATTTTATGCTTAATTGCAATTTGATTCGTTTAGCTTTGTTAATGTGCAATTTTGTTTTCTAAAGTTTTTTTTTTTCCAAATGAATTAAATCTCTTTATTTTTAAAACTAAGAAAAATATGTGGTGATTGTGGTCTATTTGTTGTTGTTTTTTTCTACCTAAAATAATCAAGTACTTATTTTCTACTCAAATTCTTTATAAAAATTATAAGTGGAATAAATTGTTTTAAACACTTTAAAGCAAATAAAAATTCACAAAAATTAAATTAAAAAAAACTATAGTCTTTCCTCTTTTAACCCTGATTTCAAATCATATAAACTTATTCATTTTGTTTTCAAATTTTTATTAAATATCTGACTTCAAAACCTTTTAAAGTTATTCCATGTCCCAAATTCATCAGAAGCCCCCTAAGTATTTGGATAGAAAATAAAACTTTGAGAATATTAATTAGTTACAAGAAAATTAATAGAAATATTAAATTTATTTTTTTTAAAAATAAATAACTTAATTACCTAAAAAAATAAGAGGCCAAAATTATATATCAATTCATATATATTAAACACAAATGTCTTTCATGCACAAGATCATTTTTAAGGATTTTTTTTTTCAATGGGATAATTTTTAAGGATTCTTTTAACAATTCTTATCTAATTTTAGTTTATTTATCATAATTATCTTATGAATTAAATTTTAATATTTTTAAAATAAATTATAAATAATCATGTGTTACAATATAAATTATTTATCATAAATGTAAAGTATAATTTATATATTTAAAAATATTTATTTATACAAATTTTAAATATAATTTATATAGTTAAACATAATATTTATTTGTATATATAATTTATTATAAATTTTAATTATATTAAATAAATATTTGATCTGTACATTATACATGTAAAAATATTAGTATATTATAAATTAAAAAATAATAATTTATTCGAACTTAAATGTATGAAAACAGATACAAAGAGATGGCAGATATTTTCGTTAAATTCTTTAATTTTATTTGTCTTAATTTCAACTTAAATATTTATTTATCCAATGAAAGAGAGAT